CCCCACCCCTGCACTCACCCAACACACCCAGCCTTCCACCAATGCGTGCCTCACGCCAACTGTAGCGCCACCAAGGGCGGCCTGTGCACGTGCGCCGCGGGCTACTACGCCACCAACTCCTCGTGTGAGCAGCTCAAGAAGGAGGGCGAGACGTGCGTGAGCACGGGCCAGTGTATCCTCAACGCCGTCTGCCGAGCCGGGAACTGCACGTGTGAGCCCGAATATTTCGCTTTGAAGTGAGTTTTTGTTTTTTGTTTTTGTAAGTATTTTACGGCGCTTGCAACTCTGCATAAGGTCATATGAACGCGCGGGACACATTAAACTTTTTCAGTTGGTAGGAAATTTTGAATGTTGCCCGAGTGGCGGCCGAAGCCTACTCTTATCGATTTTAGACCACCAGGGGATCTTTAACGTGCGCAACTTGCACTCGGGCTGTCTGAGATTTTTCTCCCTTGTCCGAGAAGGCTAGGTGTAGCTGGGGTGTGACTGAAAGACAGCAGTAAGGAGGAGTCAAGGAGTAGCTGTAGAAAGGCTGGAGAAAGAATCAGGAGCCCAGAGGAGGGGGCAAAGGGGGTGAGGGGTACGTGCAGAAAGAGGAGGCGAAAGCAGAAGACAGAACATTGCTAGAGAGCAGTAAAGGAGGTGACAGGAGACAAATTCTGTGAAGAAAATGCTTCGGTCGCTACCCGGATTCAAACCCGGGACCTTTGAATGAGAGGTGAACATCTTAACCTCTAGGCCACGAGAGCCCCCTGAAGTGAGTTAAATGTACTGTCTTATTAAGTTGTTATGTTGTTATTGGGGTGTTTTTTTCCCTTAGTAGTGTGAGAGTTTAACGGCACTTGCAACACATTCAGGTCATATAAGTGCCGACGATTAGAGGTGTTACACGAACCTCCCCTCTATCCCCAGCGGCTACTGTCCACTCCGGAAACTGGCGGGCGACAAGTGTAACGGTTCCGGCCAGTGTGTGACGCACGCCGAGTGCACGTCACCGGACAGTGACGGTGTGTGTCGGTGTAACGCCGGGTACTACAGGGACCCTGAGGGCCGCTGTGCTGGAAGTAAGTCGTTTTTACGGCATAATCGACAAAGCTGACAAACAAAGATGATATATGAAGCTAACAAGGATAAAGATGACATATGAAGCTAACAAATAAAGATGACATTTGAAGCTGACAAATAAAGATGACATATGAAGCTAACAAATAAAGATGATAAATAATTTTTTAAAAATAAACCTGACAAATAAAGATGACTTAAGATTATGAAGTTAACAAATAAAGATGATAAATAAATCTTTTAAAGAAAGATGATTAATAAATCTTTTAAATAAAGCTGACAAAAAGACGATAAATAAATCTTTTAAATAAAGCTGACAAAAAAGATGATAAATAAATCTTTTAAATAAAGCTGACAACTAAAGATGACATATGAAGCTAATAAATAAAGATGATAAATACATCTTTTAAATAAAGCTGACAAATAAAGATGATAAATAAATCTTTTTAAATAAAGCTGGCAAATAATGCAATGCACATCATGTCGCTGGCTGGGTGCAAGAACCCGACAAGCGCCATTTTTAAACTCCCTAATCCCTCCCCTCCCCATCAATATACTTCCCACATACCCCGACCCCCTCCTATATATATATATATTATCATTATATATACCTCCAACTAATCCCCACCCACCCTCCCTCCCTCCCTCCTCTTCTCCCCTTCTCCCTCCAGTTATCCCCCCAAACAAGGCGTGCACGGGCACAGGCCAGTGTGTGGCGAACGCCGAGTGTTCTTCGGACGTCTACGGGGTCTGTGTCTGTGATTCCAGGTGAGTTGCGTAAACTCAGGGGAGATTTAGTTTTGTTTTCTGTTTGTTTGTTGTTATTGTTTTGTTTTGTTTTCCGTTGTTGTTATTTCTTCTCTTTTGAGGGGGTGTGATAGTTTATGGGTTTTTGTTTTTGTTTGTTTGTGTGTGTGTGTGTGTGTGTGTGTGTGTGTGTGTGTG